TCAAGGGAAATGATTGCATTTTCATAGACTCAGTATAAACCTAAGTAGCCAGTGCGATTGATATATGCTATGCAAGATGATTGTACAGGTTATTTTGATATACAAGATCTAATAGAAGACTGAGGTCTTACTGGACAACATAGGACAACTGGATGTTTTGTTTTGATTTTTCCTGTTCAGCATAAAACCTTTCCAAAGAATGCTGGTTTCTTTCTAGGCAGTTCATATTTTAGCGGTGATGGTGTGAAACGGGAGGTTGAGAGCATAAATCCAAACATTAATTAGACCTACATTTGCTAACTAGATTCCATTGGGAAGCACACCTAGTCCAACAGCACAACATCTTTACAGACCCATCATGGAGCATATAAATTGGTAAATGTTAAAAAACTCATCTAAGCTCGTTGCCACTGCCCTATCTTTTGGCAACACATCTCATTCCATTGGCATTGTGTGAAGCCATGTCCCTTCCCATACACGCACTTGCACACTGTTCTGGATCTGTGGTCCATCAACATTATGAAGCCAGTTCAGATATAACGCTAAGCTTAGGCATGGACAGACATGCTGGTGCACATTGTCCAACTGCATGACTTCTTTTCCAGTGAGAGCAGTTAAACAACCAGGAAACCTCCGCTCATGGTTTGTTTAGCATTGCATATGAATTGGGATACTGCCTTATTGTTCTCCTTACAAGCCAGAATCACAAGCCAGGGTTTGTTCAAGGTCTAGGGTTAAGAGAAACAGGCTGGACCACGCCCTGCCCACTGACTCCCTACCTCATATAATTTTATTAACTTCTATTGTATTTTTAAACAAAGTACAAAATATGTTAGCTTTTCCTTGCAGGGCTATGCTTCAGCTGTTTGAATATTTTGGTCCCTTTTTCTGCCCACTTTCTAGATTTATGATAACCCTGTTGAGATGTGGGTGGACAAAAAGGTTGGTTAATAGTCTGATATTAGTATATTTTCTTGTCTTACTTTTTTCAAAATGAGGGTATGGCGACTCAGTGGAAATGACTGGATTTCTGGAGAGAGATCCAAGACAGTGAGTTTAGAGATCATGATAATCCACATGCAAGGGTTACGGATAGCTTGTCATTGAAGCATGGTTGTGCTGAAATGTGGGTTATTATGTTGTCTGAACACAGCTGTGCTGGCAAATGGTGGTTTGTTAAGCACTGACAACCCACAAAAGCAACCCATTGTTCACTGCTGGGTTGTGGATTTGTTGTTGGGTTGTGAACTGTGGATTGTTCATGGTTAACATGGTTAGTTGCTGTGGCTGGATTCAGACAACATGAGAATGCATTTTTCAACAAAAACCCGCGCACAAACCATACTGAGCTCTTGAGTATGGGATATCGTTGTCTGAATCCAGTACTTTAAGTGGAGTGGGTTGTGATTCCCATTCTTTTCAGGCTAGTGTACAACTATCCTATTTCTTTTTAAGTGAACATAATTGGATTTGGCAGAACTAACACACTTTCTTCCTCCATTCCTCCCACCACCACTTTGAAGCCATCCTAGTTCATTCAAGGTTATCCCACATCCCCCTTTCTCCTGTTCTGGAGATTGAGCCAAGATCTTTCCCATACCCCTCAGCTTCCTGCTGAATCTCATGGTGCTGCTTGTAAATCATTGTTGGTTTCCACAGTTCTGTTAATTACTAGGGGAATTGTACAGGGTGCTCTATAAATGAGACCTGTGTCTAAAGGACATCTCCTAAGTCAGAACTACTCCTAACGGTTGTTGGTAGAAGAAGGGTGGAATGGCATCAGTATAAATATAATATGTGAATTGCAGTTTTTTTAAAAAAGTGACTGATTATTCTCTAAATGTTTGCCCTGGAAAACGGTTCTTTTGCAGCTATGAAAGTAACAGTGAGGCTGACCATCTTCCAAAAGGGATTTGTTCTTCCTTTCCCCTCCCCTACAACACACACACACACACACACACACACACACACACGCAGCTTCAAAACAAGGCAGGGTCTGCCAGGATTAGCATTTGGAGTGTAAATTATTCTTGAGAACTGTCCAGGTCTTTCCCTGTAAGAGATGAATGATCCTTTTGATTAGAAGATGGTGGAGCTGATTGCCCTGATTGTCCACTTAAAGGGGTGGCGGCAGGGTGTTCCATTAACCATTCTTGGGGTGAGCTACAGATAACAAAATGAAGATCAAATCTGACACAGATAAGCTTCATGTAAAGAAAGGTTGAGCTTGTTCATTTGGGGGCACTCTTTGCATAGCCCTCTCTAGTCTTCGGACCACCTGCTTTGTTGGCCAGCCCCATTTCCTTGGCAGAAATGTTCCACCAGTTCAGACTGTACTGTTCCCCCGAGAAAGGTGCAGTTAGCATTCCCCGCACACCACCAGTTCTTTCTTGCCGAAGACAACAGCCACAAAGGGAACTCAAAAGCCCCCTTGTAATGAAAGGGGAATGTTCTCTGAGGTGATTCAAGGACCTTGTCAGTCCTTCTGAAGAAGGTTTCCTGCAGCTTTGTCCCAGGTTGTTTTGAGGTGGAAGCCAGAAACAGTGCTAGGTTTCCTCTCTTCAGTGTGGGAAGCCACATTATCATGTACGTTGCAGCAGATCCTGGCATATCCCAATGGCATCCTAATGACAGCCATGGGGGCAAAGTAATTAATTTTCCAGCCTTTCAGTCCAGGAACCGACAAGCCCTGGTGTGAAATGAAACACTTATGATGAACCCCTTTGGAGCTTGTTTTCTGTTTCATCAGGGTGCACTCAACCGAGGGTAATTGAGGGTATGTTGACAAAGAGTTTTTGTTTTTGATTGTAAGAAGGACAAAATTTAACCCTGTCCTGCAAGAATCAGAAGGCATTGCAATCTGGCATTTGGCTTGTTGCTGAAAGTGGTACAGCCATACCTCTAATCAGTCCATGTGGCACACATAGAAGCGGAAGTTTTGCAGCTTCCTGCTTTATCTTCCAACTAACCACCCCCTGCACACATGGAAAAGCATAAAAACATACGAACCAAGGAACCCATCTAGTCCAACATTTTGTTCACACCTAGGTCAACCAGTGGCCCACAAGTAGGACATGAGTGCAAAAGCACCCCCCCACCCATGCTCCCCAACAACTGCTAACCTAAAAAATTAACCACCACATTCAGGAAGATCAAGCTGGCCTACTCACAATCCTGAAAGTGTGCTAAATTGTAAATTGTTCAGATCTCCCCCTCCATGTGTTCCCTGGACTAGCAAACACAGCCCTGCTTCCCCTTCTATGCTCTTGAGATGGTCCAGACATATTTAATGTGGACTGACACTTTACTGAGTCCTGAGCTGATTCAAAGCTCAGTTGTGTGACTGTTTTGTCAGACACTGATGTCCCAGTGTTCAGGTGCGACAATGTTAAACCATCTTTCAAGCCTTTAGTGGGACTCCGTTAAATGTCTTCACCAAAGCTGGACTGAGCTTCTGATGTCTGAGACAGAAAATCAAACTGGTCCTGCTAATTATCAGTGCAACAGATTCACCTAGAAAGTAACTTTGCTCAGGAATTTTTGGAGTGAACAAAAGCTGTGTTACTAACCAGTGCTGAAATAATGGATTGTATTCAGTGTTAGTCCAATGGAGGAATGTAAAAGATGGAGTCCCACAGGGACCTGTAGTAGTATAACTGTTGCTCTTCAACTTATTCACAAGTGATTTGGATTTAGGAGTGACCAGTGAAGTGGCCAAGATTGTGGATTACATCAAATTATTTAGGGTGGCTGAAACAAAATAGGACTGGAGAAAGATCTCCCCAAACGGGAAAAATGGACATAAAAATGGCAAAGCAGTTCAGTGTAAGCAGGTGCCAAGTGATGCACACTGGGGCACAATAATCCCAGCTGCATGTTAGGCCTCATTAGGGAAGGAATAGAAAATAAAACTGTGAATATACAAACCTGTGGCATGGTCACCCTTGGATTACGACATATTGTTACAGTCACCAGCCCTAAACAAGGATATGGTAAAGTTGGAGAAAGGGCAGACAAGGGCAACAAGAATGATGAAAGGGCTGGAGCAACTCCCCTATCAGGAAAGCTGTGCTTGTTTAGTTTAGAAAAAGGGTGAATAAGGGGAGACCACTACTCCATCTCGTGGTAGTGAATTCTGTGTGCTGTGCAATGAAGCCCTTCCTTTTATCTGTCCTGAATCTGGCACCATCCAGCTTCATGAGATGATCTTGGGTTCTGGTATTATGAGAGAGGGAGAAAATGTCTTCCTGGCCATGTCCTTTGCACCACCATATTTTGGCACCCCTCTATCCTGTCTCGCTTTACGCACTATGTGCCAGAACCCAGATTTGTATATGCACCCCAGTTGTTGGGGAACATGGCCAGGAAGACGCTGTTGCAGTCATGTCCTGTTGGTGCAATTTCCATGGCTGGCCATTGTGAGAACAGAACGTTCAACCAGATAGGCCCTTGGTCCGATCCAGCACAGCTCTTCTTATGGAGGTTCCACATTAAACAATCTTTTTCAGCCCTGCTGCCTCCAATGTAGTTTGCTGTACCTTAGGACAGTAATGCAAATCTTCCTTGAAACCCATTGCATTGAGCAGCACAGCTCATTCTACATATTGTGGCAAGCCAGGAGAACTGAGGTGTTAGTCCACTGTTCTATCTAGTTTATCTGCATGGCATCAGCTTTTCAGGGGTTGAGAGAGAGTTTTTGTTCTCTAACTTTTTCTGTGTGAAGGGATGGAATCTGGAACTTTCGACATAGAGAGCAAATGCTCTGCCATGCAGCTGCAGCCGTTCATGAAGTGCTTGACAATCGCATTCCCTTAGAAGTCCAAAGCAGGCACAAGAAGAGGTTTACTGAGCTCCTGGTGGCATCACATATGTGTGAGAAAAGGTTACACATTGCACATCCTGGGATCTTTCCCCAGTATGTTTACATGGTTCATGCTCTCTCTCTCTCCCTCCCTCCCTCCCTCTCTCTCCCTTTCCTTTCCTTCCTTCCTTCCTTCCAGAATGTGGACAGGTTCTCCAGGCTTCAAAAGGTCAGATTTTATTGGAGAGTTATCCATTGAATGCCCAGTGTGAATGGATCATACATGCCAAGCCTGGGTTTGTTGTTGAATTAAGGTAGGTGAGAGATGAATTTCCATATCCTCAATTTTCTTTTTCTGCATGACACAAGCTTATGCGTAAATAGAAGGTGTGCCCAGATAATGGTAGAACCCAGAGGAATTTCTGGTGGGGTTTGTCTTCTTTCCACAGACATGAACAGTAATTTAGTTAATAGCTCTCTGCTGTTCCTGAGTATCCCAGGAACACTTAAAAATGATCAGAGATTATGCACTGGGCATCTGAGTTGCTTATTGACTTTCAGGTTATCTGTACCTGAGTATCCTTGAGTTTTTTTCCCAAAAGACACTTACTTGGGGCAAGTGAAGAGGGAAGCTGTGATGGTTGGCACTTCCAGGATCCTTTTCCTATTGGGGAATGGTCTAGGACTCTTAATGCTCAGCACCTCCACCAGGTAAGTGTGACGGCCCACATGGTTCCCACCTAAGGAAAAGTGGCTTGTATGCAGGGTGATGTCTTTCCAAGTCCCGCTACCAAGCACTTGAGCAGAAGCACTGGCGTTTGCAACCGCCTTTGATCAAATGCTTGACACTCTAGCAGTTATCTTCACTAACTTTAAAAGTCATGACTTATTTTTATATCCGTGGATTTTGAGTGACTTGTACATTTTGGGACAAGCAAATTGCTTCCTCAAGCAACCAATATGAATATAGCTACAGCCCATTTATTGTGGCAAAGTTCCTATTGTTATTACCATACCTATCCCTTCCATGTATTTATTTCTGCAAGTTTTTAAAAATTCAGCAGATGCACTGATTGCACTGATCTAGGTTTTACTGATTTCTCTCTACCATTTATTGTGAAATCTGTAGCAATGCCTTAAGATTTCCTACATTTTTCTACACTGTACACAGTCCATAAAATACAGGGGATATTGGAGGTGACTTTTCCAGCCCTAAGCACTAAAACAAAATAAAGTTCAATTCACCACATTCTCTCCATTTATCCAGTCCCACCTTCTCCCTTAGCAAACTTCATGGCACAAAACTTTGGGCACGAACCAGCAACAGGCAAATACACACGCGTAAAAATTTCAGTTCCCCCTGATCAGAAAGTAAAAGAGTAGTTTCAGCTTTTCTTTCTTCCTCAATTAAGAGGAGGAAAGCTGGCTTTCTAAATAAGGCTTTTTATATAGTACTTTCTATGACCTGGTTCACACATAAGAATTCATCATGGATTAATTAGTATAAATTGAATTATATAATGAGGACTGGTTTAAAAAGCAGAAACAGCAAGCAACAGGTGATGTCACACATATTTACATGCTCATGAGCAGCCCAGAGTTTTAATTCAGAGTTGGAGCCATGAACAAACAAATGACTACATTGCCTATTGCTCACTCGCTGCTTCATCTTGGCATTTGCTTTGCACCTGGTTTAGCAGACAACCCAGGAATGTCCCATTACTGGCTTGCTTGGGATGACATGCACTTGTGTCACTCCAGGTTGTCAAGGGAAAAACAACCCAGAGTTTTAACCCAACAGGAAACCATAGGTTGAAATTCTGGGTTGTTTCTCTATCAGCAACCCAGAGGGCTCGGTTCAATTATTGCAGCAAACAACCCGAAAGGGGACTTCCTGAATTGTTTCCTAAAGTGGATGCAAAGTGAAAATGGTGAGCAGGCGCAAAGCAGCATCCTAGTTTATATGCAGCCCTCACTACACATGCTTTTAAAATATGCAAATATGATGTCTGTGTGTGATTATTAGACTACATTATGCCCTTTATTCCCCATCTCTATAATAATATTTTCAAATGGGATAGCAATTTACAAATCTCTTCCTGACCCATGGTTTTCACCCAGTGTGTATTTAGAAAAATAAATCTAATATTACTTATTTACATTCTTTCTTAAGAAGCTATTGTAACACCAGAATATAAGATGTCCTATAGCCATTCAGTCTATTTATTTATCTAGCCCAGTTTTTATCTAGCTATTTATCTACCTAGTAGTGGTGGCCTTCCAAGTCCTCAAGTCCTTGCCCAACAACTACTAGGTAGGTAATTTAAGGACCTACTGCAATGAACCTGGGATATTATTCCTGCAAAGCATGTTCTGTATGACAGAACTGTGGTCTCTCTGCTTTTTAAAATAGGAGCCAAGAATTTTGAGGGAAGTCGGGGAGTTTCATAAAACTATAGAAGTTTTCTAGAGAGGTAGAACAGGTTTAGGATGTGGCTAGATACATTCCTAATCCTAACTCTGTGCAAAACCTGGAGATGAAGAAAGGTTGGGCTGGTTTTTCAGATTCTGGAGCACAGAAGTATTTTAAAATGGAAATTCAAAAAGATATAGTTGGCATCTGAATTTGCAGTCTTCTTTTCTTTTTTCTGTGTCCAAGGTTTGCTATGCTAAGCCTGGAATTTGACTACATGTGCCAGTATGACTACATAGAGGTCCGAGATGGTGACACTGTTGACAGCAGGATAATTAAGCGTTTCTGTGGAAATGACAGACCTCTTCCAATCCGGAGCACAGGGTCTTCACTCCATGTTCTTTTCCATTCAGATGGTTCCAAGAATTTTGATGGGTTTCATGCCATCTTTGAAGAAATTACAGGTGAAGAGTTGAAAAGGAAGAGGCACATTTTTTTCAATCGCAATAACTTGATTTAATAAATTTCTTCATCATTTTTCATGCCAGTCATGCTTTGTGTTAAGATCCCTGTGCAAAAGCACTGTTTCTTGTGGTGATGAAACTGTGGGATACGGGATTATACTTGAGGTGTTGATATACTAGGTTTTCCAAATCTTCATATGTAGGCCCCACAAACTCTATGAAGTCATGAGTACCCACAGCACTCTTATCTAATCATACCAAATTGCCTCAGAGAATATCTTCAAAGATCCTTTTTTGTAGAAACAGGAAGATATATATTATGGAAGTACTTCTGAAAATCTATCCATGTAGCATACTCACATTACATTATTGAGTCACATAATATGGGGGTAAATGCCATGGGTAAGAAATACCATCCTGTTCAGTTCTATACAAAAAATGGTCCCTTGCAAGTTCTATTTTATTCACTTGAATATTAAGTTCACCACATGTGCATATTTATTCTGGGATTGGTCTGTATTGTATTATATTAATTTATTAAATCAATATAGTGCTTTTCATTGGAAATCTCAAAGTGCGTTACACATAAAAAATAACAAAAAACAAACCAAAGAGACACATAAAGCAATTTTATTAAACCCTATGTTTAAAAACTTCAGGAGCTGGAGCTTCAGTACAGTGAATGTGAGGGGAAATGTAGTGTTTAGCTGTTTCTAATATCTGGGAATTGTCTTTGAGATCTTCCCTTTCTATAAATATGGCCTGCAGCCAGGATAGGTTGGTGACTCCTCTATCCCTGGGACTCTTTACCCATTGCAGCTTTTCCCCTGAGCTTTATAGGAGCTACCAGTAGTAATCCATGGTGGTGAAACTATTTGGAGGATGGGATTCAGTGGAGGAGGAGGAGGAGGAGGAGGTTGCTTGGCTGCTCTAGATAGTGTGGGGTGATTTGCTGCCCTAATGAATATTTTCATTTCTTGGAGAAGATGGGTAGAATAGAGGAAGACCGACAGATGGTTACTTGTCCAGGACTCAACAATAACCTCTTTCTCCCAAGGGCAACTCTCAGCCCTGTGGAATGCCTTTCTTACTGGCTGATAGGCCACACCGGGGTGGTTTTTTCCTTGTTACTACATGCAGCACAAAGAGCACCATCACAGGAGCTGCTAGAAGTAGTGCTGTGTTAATTAAAGGACTCTAATGATAAAAAGAAGTCAGCGCCATGAAATGGAACTCGGTGTGGGGTATGGTGCAGTAGAGCCTCCCACACTTACGAGACTAACATATTCCATAGAGGGTGGGATGAATGGAGCTTGTTTCCTCTGCTCAGCGGGAGCCCTTTTAGTATTCCGCTGCTGCCATCTACTTTTCTTTCCGCCCCATTTTTAGCAGCAATTATTTAGAGATTGGGTAGTTGGTTGCTACTGTGGTAATCTGTGCAGAGTGGGATACCAAGCGCTTACAGTTTTATAAGGAAGTTTTATTGTGTGCCTTATTGTGAGTCTGTCCTGGCCTAATGTGCTGTTGAGATGAAAAGCTTTTAAACTCTCCTTTTTGCAAAGCATTAACCTGGCTACTGACACTGTTTATTAGGAAGAATGTGATTTGCATGGGGAGTGAAGGGGGAGTTGATGGAGCTGTGAGACCGAGACCTCTCGCAGCACACATTTAATAAGATACAGCACTGTGAAATCCTCTGCACAAAAAGCTTGAGGGGTAGCCGAGATCAGAAAACAAGGTGAACAGAGTTGACTTGGCTGCTCCCCTGTGCTGATTGTTATGAACCTGCAGTTGAAGCACCTCAAGGCTTGTGCAGTGACCCAAAAAGGAACGGTGAAATTCTAGGAGAGGGGCCACTCCACATGCAGTGCTGATCGTCTCTCACCACTGTCCATGTTGTTTAGCTAGCTGACGGGAGTTTTAGGCCAAAATATTTGGAGGGCTACAAGTTGGCCACCCATGTTATGGGACTATGGTCTCCTAGGCATCCTTAATAAGGGTCTTGCTAAGTAGGGAAAACAAAGAGTGGAGGTTTTATAAATCAGGGTATAAATTATAATGTAAAATTTCTGATCTGGGAAAATTCTTTTTTGCTTTAGATTGCTGGATCCTTTCTGCTTGCTTCATCTTCATTAAGAGGCCTTTTAGATAGCTTGCTGAATACCTAGATGTCTTCATTGACATTTCACAGCTCTTTGATCTCTGTCGGCTCTACTGCTGTAATTGCTGCCCTTCTCTTGTACCATTTTCCTTCATGTAGCATTTTCCTGCTGCTTTATTTCTGATCTCCTAAAATTCAAAATGGGTCAGGCCATGGCTGCTTCAGATATCTTATTTCTAGCTCCCTGGGCTGCTCGGTTCTTCTGTGACCAGATGACGCAGAAAACCCAGATGATATGAAGATCACAGGAGTATCTATTGATCAACCTTTAGATTTGAGAAGATTAGCTCATTCTGCACCTAATCATTTCTAGTTGCCTTGACTTTGACTATTATCAGTCAAAACAACCACAATCATCATCATGACCATCATCACAGTATTATTGTTGTTGTGATAATCAATCCAATAATAATCATGTTGTTGTGATTGATAATATTTAGTCAAAGTCAAGGCACCAAGAAAATAATAATAATAATAATAGTTGTTGTTGTTGCTGCTGCTGCTGTTTTGTTGTTGTTATTAAATTATATTTCTCTCTGGGCAGTTTGCAACATTTAATATTTCAACCAAGCTTTCAGGATTAGGCAGAATCAAGCTATATGGAAGCTGAATGATGATAATAAAACAATGAATAATGCTTTGGGTAAGCAGAAGAATTATAAAAAACACAGTCACATTAAGATGCAGAACCGTAAAGATCCATGTTACAGTTTCCCAAATATCAGCATTTCCTGAAATAGGCATGTGTATTTCACCTGGATGGATAGGCAGATAAGACAGAAAACAGGTGGAAGAATGTTCCATATACATGAAACTGAGGGCTCTTCCATATACTTTGACAGCTTGTTCTTCATCGCCATGTCTGCATGATGGAACCTGCATCCTTGACAAAACTGGTGGCTACAAATGCGCCTGCCTGGCTGGCTATACTGGGAACCGCTGTGAAAGCTGTGAGTACACCCCTGTACCTGTGAATGTGCGGAAGCATGATCAAAATGTCTGTGTTCTCATCGATTCAGTCATTGTTTAGCATTCCCAGGCAGAATGCTTAGATGGATAAGGCCCAATCATTGGCGTATCATAGCTTTAAATAACAGCAACAGTGCAGTAGAATGCAGCTGAGCAAAGTTTACTTTAAAGCTCTGTACTGGCTGGACTGTCTTGTAGATTACATAATTATATCTATTCAGAAGCTGTTTTTCTATCTTATGGGTTGGTCTTCTGATTCCCTCAAAGTACCCACCACGATCAGCAGCCCAGAATCAGTCTTAAACATCCAGTGAAGACTTGTCCAGGTGTTACATGTGGCAACTTTGCTAATAATGATGAGCCCCTTTCCTGACTGTGTTGTTTGCTCAAGAAAGAAACCTTGGACTGCATCCAGATGAGGCTTTTTATCTGCCTCATTCACTGAACTGTGCAGGGGTACAGAGGCCATATGATGGCGGCCTCCCCTCCTAAACCTCCTGTGTCTTTTGTCTTTTTGCATTGTTGTTATTATTTCCATACAAAATCCACTAAGGAGCAGCACAATACTTTTGAACTAGTAGTTCTAGGAGCTATCTTCCTGGATGCACACTTGGAGAGGTCTTTGGGTGGCTTTTCCACCAATAAGAGTCATATCTAGGCCAAGCCATATCTAGCTTGAAGCAAACAGTGAGGGGAGGCTACTAGCCTTGCCCCTTCCTCAAATATTTTGTTCTCCCTCTACTCCTCTTCTGAAGAGAAAGACCTCCTGTATCCTTTGAGGCTCTCGGTGCAGGTGAAGACTGATTTTCCCAGCATTCCCAGCTAAGGGAACTTCCATGGATAAAAAATAAAACTGTGTTCTACATAAAGTTATCTTTGATGCATAGAAACATGTGAGGTGGGCACAGACCTAGTGCACGGCTTTCCTCACATGATAACTTTGATCATTGAATAGAACTGTGGCGGTGTCTCTTACTGGACATGGCACCCTTCCAGGGGGTTGAACTTCAGCCTCCACCATTCCTTGCTTGACCATGCTGGTTGGAGGTGAAGAAATTTTCATCTAACACATCAGGAAGAGAAAAGGTTGGGGAAGTCTGCTTTGCAGATCTTCCAGACAGAAAGGTTTGGGTTTTTTGTTTTTTTGTTATTTTTAAATGTGTGTGGTTGGTTTCAATACATACCATTATATCAATTTGAACAAAAGTTTTAGGAGAGTGTTTCATCTTTGGGAAAGTGCTTGTTACCTGACTGGAATCCTGGGGAGGCAACCAAATATAAAAAGTCATAATATTTAATTATTCTTGTTACAAATAGTAAAGAGGCAACATGTATTTATTTTAAAAAATTGTCAAGTCAAAGTCATGCTATTTTTATGCTGGAGCAAATTACGGGGGCTCCATTTTCATGCATTTTTGAAGAGGGATTAAAACAAGCCTTAGAACTCAGTATTTTGATCTCTATATCAGTAGTAAGACTCTGTGATCACATGTAATTCTAAAGGAGCAGATCCAAGAATATATGAACTTATGTCTAAAAACTTAGTTTATGGAACTGGTACTGAAACTTCGTCCCATAGCACTGTTGTTTGCTTGTCAAGTTATCACTTGGTGCCAATATAGGTATTATACACACATACAAGCCAAAAACTATGACTCACATGGCACTTGGCAGCATCTAAACTAGACATAATCTCCATGTCCCACCACTCATCAGGCTTCACTTAGAAATACCTGTGAAGAATATTTCAGGGAAATTTCAACCCTGTCAAGGCCAAGTCTCTCCTCAAGGAAAATTCCAACAATTTAACTGAAGCTTGTCTTCAGTGAATACGGTAGCAACTGTGAATATTGAAGTGAGAATTTTATAAAGATTGGTAACTATTCTCCTACTGCCCCCAGCCCTCCTAAAACACACACTTAAAAATGCTATCTCACATAGTGAGATCAGGGTAGATGGTGGAAACAGGGCAGAACCTCGAGGTGTTGGGGAAAGAATCTGGATGTATCTGGTGGATCGAGGCCAGAATCTAATGGTTAATAAGCAGGGCCAGAAGACCATGGGCAGAATGTATTGGCCTTTCATTTTTCCCAGTACTGATTACCTGACAGAATACAGTTTTACTCGAAGGACCTGCAAAGTACTGACTAGTTGGCAGCTCTAGTCCTGTGTCAAAAGCAGAATTTGCACTCAGTTTAACCTTTCTGCTGCATGCATTTTCCACACTAGTTGATGATGTTGGGAGTCAAGATGGTCCTTATTTTCCCTTCCCCTGCCACACCCTGAAATTGGATCGGCAGTCCGCCTTGAGTTCAGCAATAGCTGCATATGGAATACTATGCTATGGTCATGGAAAACATGGTGGTTGGGCCATCCGTTGACTGACTGTGTAGAAGTGCCCCATGGAAGCTTGAAAGAGAAAGAAAATGCCCTATCTGATCATCTGGTAACTAGGGAGGTATTCAAAGCTCTTTGGACGTGCTTCATGGGCTTGCTTAAAATGATGGCATCCTTATGTTGACCTGCAGAGGAGGGAAATTCAATCCCACGATAGGCCAACCAGACCCTGAATATAAACACAAAGTCCATCTGCCAGTCTCCTAAAGGAAGTATTTTTCTAGTATTTGAACACAATTCCACCCCATTCAAACTCTTATTTGACATCTCAACAGTAAGGAAGCAGCAGTTTGCAAAATCTTAATTTAAATATTCAGTCCTTCTCTGCCTTATTAACCCCTCTGATGTATTTTTAGAGTACGGTATTATCCGTTCTTAGCCTCTGTTTCACTGGACTACAAATGTTCTCTCTCTCTCTTGCCCCATCCCATTTAGGTCTTACTGTTTTTCTGCCATGGGACTCAGCATTCTGGCTGATTAGGCCCTCCCATGGAACTGCTGGCCTTCAAAGCGAGGGACTCTGACCCCCTTTTTGCTCTAAGACTTCCTGTAACCATTGTCTAAAACAAAGACCAGCAAACTCAAGTCCTTGAGTAAATGCTGGGATCTGGTATTGAATGGGAATTCATTGCTCTGATCCAACTTCCATTTCTTTACGACTGCTCTGTCTCTGTTGCCAACTATGCAATATTTATCCTGCATCCTAATGAAGGGTGTTCCATTGAGCTCAACTGTGGAATACTGTGCCATCTCTACCAATATTGGATTGGTCCCCCACTTTTCTCAATGGAGCTGTGAAAGAGTTCTCTTGGTTCTTCTCTCATAAGATTGTACTGGAGTCTTACCCATTGCTGACATGATACAGACAGCTTTGCAGAGACTAACTCTAGGGTTCTTTCTTTTTACTGACAAATTCTTATTTGAAAGGCCTCCCTCCCTACAAGAGAAGTAGAAACAACTGTTTTCAGTAGGTTAATAAACACAGAATATTTTCTATATATTTTATTTTAGAAGAATGAGTTGTCAGGAGCAAAACTGGAAGATAATGTGTGTGTGTGTGTAGTCAAGACTTTCATGTTAGTACTTTACTGAGTACAAAAATTAAACATACCTCCATATTTTTAACAAAGGAAAACAAGTGGTTGTACCACAAGTGAATAAGAGATTTATAGGGATGAGCAAACCAATTTTTTAAATAATTCATTTCAAAATATATATCATCCTGCAGTCCCACACATTTGAAAAAAATTACACTTCTCATTTCCAAAATATAAAAATCTTTAGACTTTCATAGATTATTTTATGCTACATAAAATATCTAATTGAATCCCCAAGCAATTATTACTTACGGTATCCATAAGTAAGAACAAGAAATTAGAACACTCCAGTATTGAAAACAAATTCAATACACACCACAAAACTGTCTGTATCAATACAGCAGTGGCCATGAAATGATTATTTAAGATTTATAAGCTGTAAATCATTACACAGGCATAGCAGATTGAATATAACTCCCAAAAATAAAGTGCCCAGCACTAAGGGATAAACTGTATGTGTTTAAGCACACAATACGAAGCTGCAGGCATGGGGTGGGTTCAGTGCCTCTTGTCTTTATGTCTCCTTTGAAGTTAAAATTGGACCCAATCTGAATTTCCATGTGACTGAAACATGTGAGGAACATCAGAGCTGCTATATGTGGAGTCCCTCCATTGGTCCCACTGGTCCCTCTGCCTCCGTACTGACTACGTGCGCTGGCAGTGCTCTCAAGGGTTTCAGACAGAGGTCTTTTTCAGCCCTACCCAGAGATGTCAAGGACTGAGCCTAGAGCTTCTTGCCATGAGCGACACTCACTGCCAAGTCTGAGGGAGCATTGAGCAAGGTGTCCTCTGACGGCTCGCCCCACCGTTCCAGCCACCCTACATCTCCCCTACGTTACCACTTCCCTCCGTGTCACTGCCACTTTTCCATCCCAACCCCGAATGCTTTGCCACTTCCCCTTCCATGTGCTGCCTGCTTGGTTGCTACATCTCCCCCAGGTGAAACGAAGTTGGCGAGCAAACACGGAGCCTTTCCGCAGTGCCCCCGGCTGCTGAAAACAGGAAGGGAGGGAAGGAGGGACGAAATGTTGGAATGACTGACATTAGCTCCAGCCTGCTAATGCCAGGCAGATGCTGGGCCTGCTTCCTGCTATGTGGCCACCCTGTCCTCTGCCACTGTCTTCATGGGGCAGCCTTCAGGGCTCAGACTGCAGTCCCAAAGTCTGGCTCTGATGGCATCACTGCCTTTTGCATGCAAAGCACGTGCTCTGCCAATGAGCTTGCTCTTTCGCATGTCTGCTTCAGTCCCAAGAAGCAAACCAGGACAACTATAATTGGGGCAGGACTCAGTTAACATAGGGGTTGTTCCCAAAAGGCAAATGGAGCTGCAGAGCCCAGATCGCTGACCTGGATCACTGGTACAGCATTGCAGGAGGTGGGACCCACGGCATGATTCTCCCAGTGGGTTTCTTGCCATTGAGCTGATTACACTTTGAAAGCTCCAGCTGGGTCACCAACCTTGTTCCTCAAATCTTCTCAGTGAGATA